TTTATACGTAAGAAATTTTGTCGGTGTGTATATTTGTGCTCCGTTAAGCTGAAATTTAGTACACAGATAGACTATGACTTGAAGTAACACATAGGCTATTGTTAGTGGTAAAATTTACCAAAAGGTGGCGCTGTCTGTCTATAATAGTATGAATACAAAGGCATCTAGGGACGCATCATAGGGTATCAACAAGTCACTATTATGTATATATGTAATATAATTAGTAAATAGTATTATATTTTTTCTATATTTAGACATATTTTATTATTCTAGGGCATTATCCTAGCTTATTTTGGAAGTGGTAGCTAAAGATAAAATAAAAATAATACAGTTAGGCTCATGCTTCGGCGAGTCATGTTTACCTTATAAGGAAAAATAATAATTTCATGACAAGTATTATTTAAATATAATTTGTATTCTATTAATCTATTATAGCATTTCAAATTATTTCTAAACTTAAATTGTGGACCGTACTAAGACTGCCAGTAGTAGGTACTTTATTTCTGCACACATTGTATGTTGTTGTTGACTTGTTTTACAGTTTATTAAATGTGGAATATTTAGAATATTTTTCACTTCAAGCAGTTAATTAGAATTGATGGTGACTTTCACGTTTAATGTAGGCACAGATTGGAACACTTTGGCATCCTCTTCGTATCATTATCTTTTTTCATATAGGTATATTTACTTAGATTATTTTATTAATAATCTAAGTATATTTATAACAAATTAATATTTCTGATATATTTTTAATATTATAAATACTAAATATACTAAACTTTGATTTCTGGCTGTATTTGTTTTTTGTCTTGTTTTAACAGCTTAACATATTTGAGTAAACTTGGAAGTGGATATATTATCTTATATTCAGACGTAAGCTAGTTACTTTTTGATGATGGTCTTATTGATGGCGAGCGAAACCGCGGATAAGCATCAGTATAGGCGATAAAAACATATCCGTGACATGACATAGCCATGGCCCATCCGAGATTTAAATCATTCAGTAAAAAATTTACAGAACAAATGACTCATTACGATAAAATATTTTTTCAATTACATATTTATAAACGACCTGTTGTGGGGTAGATAGGAAATTATGTGATTTACACTTTATGAATCATTCAGAATTATGTGTTGTAACGTAACGATTTCGTTTCACTTATTTGTAAAACTTTTTTCATATACCTAGTTTAAAGTTTAAACCTTAAATAAGGTACCCCCGTTACTGACAGTTATTTCAGAGATTACAGAGAGTATAATATTCAGATTTCAGACTATAAAGCCAACGATCGTTTTACAATTTAAAAAGTATAAATATTAAAAATATGTCATAGTGCTAAAGCTCTTGAAAATGAGCCGTGCGTGTTTCCTGTCGGATGACACATGCGAGATAAGGTACCTAGGTAGTTTTATTTTATTTTTACTGTCTCAAATGTAAAAGAATATTGCAGCATGAAATATTGTATTATCGAACTATTACAGACGTGAAAGTATGTATGTGTATTTGTTACTTAACGCTGACACGGCTGGTCGAATGAAATTTAATTACAATTTGGCCTAGAGCAGCAGTTCCCAATTTTTTTTGACCACGGGACCCTAATTGAACATATTTTTTTAACGGTTCTTCTGAATTGAACTGATGGTGTTGTTATTAGAATACTTCTTGTTTGACTTGAAAGAACAAATCATAAACGAAAAATATTAATACTTATAATAATAGTTATTGTCACAAAAATATAACGTATTAAATGTGATGATTTGAATTAAAAAATTCACATATTTATTTTTAATAGTAGTAGTAGTAAAATTAGTCTTTATGTCTGACTACGTTTTATTTAACTCTCGGACGGAGCTCAGAACCCATTTGACCCTTCCACGGAACCCTAGGGTTTTGCGAAACTTATCATCTAATGGCGGTGACAGTGGCAAGGTTTAATGCGCAAGATATTGCCTATATTGATTGTACTTTTTTACAAAATTATATTATTTAATTTGCAATGTTTGTATCTTTGTTCGGGACAAATCATGCAACTAAATTTTAAAGCAGTTATCCTCAACCGATTGAGCTGAAATTTTGCATACATGTTTACTTTAGATGACAATACATGGTTAGGCAAGTGAGGCCATTCTAAATCCAACATGGCGTATATTTTTTTATCTCCCCCACGATATGGATATCAAATGAAAAGGATTTCTGAGAAGAATGCGAAAAAATACCTAAAAAATAAACTAAATTAAACCAAAATCATTTATTACAGGATTAAAATGATACAAAAGCTTCTTCTTAAAAATATTTCTTTATTATTAACTTGTTTAATGAATTTACAAGTGAGTAGCCAGATGTCGTGTCGTCCAGGTGTAAATTTTTTTATGGTTAGATACAACTAGGTGTATTTAGACTATTGAATCTTTAATCATAAGCTATGACTCGCACGCCATTTGGTTTCTCTGAAGATACTATGCCAGAAACATTTTCGGGAACTTAAAAACTTGGCTTTTTCACATTTTGTTACATAAATTGAAGCCATGTTTTGATATCTCCGAAGTTTTCAATTTACGTGAACTTTTAAAACTGTCAACGACCTCGTAAAGATGCACGCAGAGTTAATACAAAATTAGGCTACTAAATCCCTATTATTAGATTACCGTACATCGATAGGTGGTCTGAGAAATGGCTGATGAGATGTTAAAAAAATATTTTTAATTTTTTATTCGTACAAGTGATACACTTATTATTATCTTTGTTGAACATTTAGGGGTTTTCATTAACTACTGCCTTTTATAAACGTTTTAGGTAACAAGCAACGCTTGGTACGCTTTTGTGCATTAAATTAGTTTTTTTAATTTAATTTGGAATATGTACAGTGGTTTTACAACAGTTTTGAACTTAGAAAAACACATTTATGTACGTATTTATATTTTGAGACGTCTCGGTGATTGTGGGGCATTAATTTGTGTGATGAGCACGAAAGTTTGTTTATACTTATAATAAAAATGTATTTAAAGCTATATCTGTTTGTGTGGTGTATCAATTATCTGGTATCCATAACACAAGCCTCGTAGCTTACCATGGAACTAGATGGTGCTGTGTGTTAATGTCCCAACACATTTATTTATTTCATACAAATCATGGAAACAAAAGAAAATGTTTCTGATTCGGAGATCTATCCGCCTATTTCTAACAATTAAAATTTTAGGCAATTTGCTTTGGGTGATGCTACTTGAAAAGTATACTTCAGCCGAATAGTGGATCATTACTATAGGCTTATAATATCTGTGTTGAAAATGAAGAAAGTAAAAATAAAATTTGCATTGCAATAGATTTAGGAGTAATATTTTAAGTTAAATTTATCCCTTCACTATATTTGTGCTACTCGTAAATGTATCCAACTGGCACTTCTAAAAGCCATGAAACACAAATAATAAAATTGACCTGATCCCATAAGGCTTATCTCATATCTGTGTAAAGTCACAGATTCAGTTTTAATTATATTATTTCTTATCATTTCAAAGATTATTTAGCTATAATTTTTTCTCTTAAAAGTACACGCTACAGTATGTATTTTGTCCATGTATAAGTTTTTATCGTCTAATAAAAGTTTGATAGTCAAAGGGAGGGGTATTTAGGGTTGACTGGAACACGATTAGCGGTCGTTCACATTGAATTTTATAACTTTGATTTCATTGCGTCTTGTTTGCGCCACGTGTGATGCAATCGGGTGCTTAACCTCCACTTAATGAAAAATAATATCACCTCCAGGTAAATTTCTAAGAAATTAATTAAAATTCTAAGAAATCTATTGTTAAGTGACACGCCGGCGTGTGTCCGCGGTCGTGGAGGGAATATTGTTATCTTATTTATTGTAACTATTTACTAAAATTAGGGGTCGCTGAGTGGTCGAAATTAGACCATGATTATCATTTTGAGGAAAACCTATGTACCTATATGAATTTACAAAACTTTTTTTATTAATAACACTAAAGAAAGAAAGAAAAAAAAAGAAAATCGGTTGACAAACAGATGAGAAAAAGGTACTGAACTGTTTCGTCTTAGATAAATATATATTTAATTTTTTTTATTGTAAATTTTCATTTTGATGGATGATAATTTTTTTATCAAAACCAATTTTCGCACAAGGCATATGTAAGTATATCTCATGTTAAAATCTAAACTCAACGAAAAATCGCCATAGACATGACCAAGAAACCATCTTCATTAACTGGATAAGAAGTTGAATGAATATCAAGCCATGAATAGTACCATATACTTATTTAACAAGGTATTCCATAGTAAATATAATAATAAATATTATCTATTCTAATATTATAAAGAGGAAAAAAATTTTTGTTTGTATCGAATAGGCTCCGAAACTACTGAACCGATTTAGATGAAATTTCGTAAGAAGATAGTTTGAGACGCTGGGAAGGATATAGTATTTATCTCTTAAGAGGGTGAAAATTGAGGTGAAAGTTGGTATGAGGAATCAACCCATATAGGTACGAAGCCTAGCGAAGCGAGGGTGAATCGCTAGTATTTGATAATAACGTTGGTTTTTGGTGTTATCATTTTCCCAACCATCGCACCAAACAATTTGTTAAGAGGTCAAGGTTAATATTATAATCGCAATTAAATGAACAATACATACAATAGTTTTGTGTCAAGAGTACTATATTTTTCCTAGTAAAATAAAACCTTGCTAATGAACGTTTTGATTCAAACTTTTTTCAATTGATTCTATACTCATTATTTAGGTATTTTAAATATAAGCCCAAATACTACTTGTTTAGTCCGTAGTCGGAGATGTAGAAACACATTCACCTGCACACTTTCGCATTTTATAAATAGTAATTTCAAAGACTAGTAGGAACTATCAAGATATATTGCTTACAATTTTGACTAAATCATTGTAAAAAGCAACGATATATTATATAGGTATATAGCACTGTTGTTATATTACAAAATGAGCAAGTTTCTCAAATTTACTTATTTATTGTTCCAGTGAGCTAAAAAAGTTATCAGAGGAAAGTTTGACGCGTCAGCCAGAGGAGGTTTTTGACATTCTCTGCAAACTTGGCGAGGGTTCCTATGGCAGCGTATACAAGGTGAATAATATTGTCATTTTTAAAATTAAAAAAATTATGTTCACCACTTTCAGCCACTCTAAAATATCATGCATTAAGAAAATCATTATTATAGAACAAGCTGATTCGACACACATCTTTCAAGTTCATACAAAAATACTATAGAATCAAGCACTTTGTGTTTGTGTTTCCCGAATATGTCAATTTTCCAGGTGAGGTATCCAATTTTATTCCCTTAAAGGATTATTTTGGTTATTATGAAATTAAAAAAAAACGTGCTTGTGTGTGCAATTCACACATGGTAGAAGTGAAGTTTCAGAAAAGTAACATAATAGAGAATGAGATGAATTTCTATATTCATTATTAGGAGTAGGATAATAATTTATAAGGTTTATTTTTTTTAATATTTTTACCAAGTTTAATAGTTATTTTACTTGACATAAATATACATTACATATCATTCAGTAATTAATTTTATTATTTTTCACTTACCTTACCTGTGTTATGTTTTCTATCTCAAATAATTAAATAAGGCATATTAGGCATATTACAATAATATATTTATAGAATATCATTTAAGGAAAGAATATAATATTATAATATATTTGTCACACAATAACAACGGTTACCATGGCAACATGGCAATGTATTCTATCTCATTCTTTCGCCAGCTTAATCCTATATATTTATGTGTGTGTCTCTTTTTAGTGTCGCATTTTTGTTTCATCGAGATTCAAATCGCAACGACTCTAAAGAAGTTTCTCTTCAAAAAAACATTAGCCTAATCGATCCAGCTGTTATAGGACATGCAATTATCAACTTCCTAATATCTAAATAAAGTCAAGTGAAATTGTTTTCTGAATATATAAACAGTACAACTAACATTGCGTCTAAATTTTTTTATATTGCGATAGGTATAGACCTTTTCCTTCCTTCGCATACACAAATAAATTTTCACATACATATAACATATAAATTTAAAATTTAAATGGGTCAAACATATTCAATTAAATCGTTGTTAATTAATCGACATTACCATAACGTATATATGTACATGAGCCCTACTAACAACCGTTACAAATACGAGTATGTAGGACACTAGAACACTACAGCGATTTGCGATATTTGCATGCAACGGATTAACCCAATTGGTATTTTGACATTTAACAGTAAAATTCTCAAAAGTATTATAAATTTTAGTTACTATCTGTTTAAGCTGACCTAATCGACGTTTCCTTTTCACCATTTTAATAAACTTACTTATGATCTATTAGTTCATACAAAAATTCACTTTTTTCCAAATTTCCTAATTTTCCCAATTTTTTAAAATTTTCCAATTTTTTTACCTAAAACCTTATTTGGACTACTTTACTAAAGTGATGTATTAATTTTTTTACAATGACGACATTATTTTTTTATATTATCTTAGTATTAATAAAAAAAATGTACTTTCTAGGCGTTACACAAAGAGAGCGGGCAAGTCCTCGCGATCAAGCAGGTTCCGGTCGACACAGACCTGCAGGAGATTATCAAGGAGATATCTATCATGCAGCAATGCGACAGTCCGTACGTCGTCAAGTACTACGGAAGTTACTTCAAAAATACGGATTTGTGGGTGAGCATATTTTTTTATATTATCTACACCTGTGTTTTGTATTTATAAAATACAGTGACAAAAGACAACGATGATTTTTAAGATTGTTTTACGCGAGATTTTCGTTATATGCTCAAGGCGGGAAACTCGAAACATCGGCAAAGTTTAGTAAAATTAATTGAACCGCAAAAAAAAAATGACCATCCATGCATAATTAACATTTCTCTAGCGACTCACTGAGACAACTCAGCGAAATCGGTCACACTAGTATGTATATGTACTAGGATAAAAGTGGCCTACGGAATTCCTCGGTTTACAGAAATTATAAACTAACTAGCGACTCACTCTCGCTTCGCTTGGATTCCTCCCTATTGAAAACAAAATCACATCTATCCCACTGCAACCGTACATTTTTCCGGAATAAAAAGTAACCTATTTGCTATTCCAGACTATAATCTAACGCTGTGCCAAATTTCATCCAGATCCGTTTAGTCGTTTTTGCGTAAATGAGTAACAAACATTCATCCAATCTTTCGAATTTATATTAGTAATGGGATTTATATTTATATGGGATATAAAAGGGGATTATTATTAAAATAAAATTTAAACTTTGCCCATATCTATTTCAGATCGTAATGGAATATTGCGGTGCAGGCTCAGTGTCAGATATAATGAGGCTCAGAAAGAAAACACTATCAGAGGACGAGATAGCGACGATTCTCTGCGACACACTCAAAGGGCTGGAATACCTGCACAGGCGACGGAAGATCCACAGGGACATCAAGGCTGGGAATATTCTGCTTAATACCGAGGGTCATGCCAAGCTGGCCGATTTCGGTGTTGCTGGACAGTTGACTGTGAGTTATATGAAAGTAATAAATAGTAATTGCAATGGGTTCTGATTAGTATATATATATGTTTTAATTTTTGATTGTAGTGATATTTGGCAATGGCTTTAATCAGAGTCTTAATGGTCTTTTTTGTTAAAAATAAAAATGATTCAATTTAGGTTTTCTGTTTTGTGTGCTCCTTATTCCGAAGATTCTGGGTTGATATTACGGGTTAAATCATGTATAGTTATTGGGTTTCCCTATCTAGAAATTGTCAATAGCAGTGGGGGCTTGGAATTTCGTGGAATTCCACCCCCTGCAGGCCGACAATCAGTGTTGCGTCGCGTCTGCACCTGGTCTCTTACCGCGAATTTCAAATTGTTTAATCTGACTAAAAGAGTGAAAAGAAAAGGGGGAAACACGCGTTTGTGCTGTATTATCTCATATGCGGTGAGTAACCTCATGAGTTAGGCTACCATGACTACCATGGCTGATAGTGATCAGGAATGAAAAAAAAACAGACTTTATTCAAACAACACAATGGTAACAAACGCTAACAGTTCGTCTATCGTGCCGACTGCAGGACACGATGGCGAAGCGCAACACGGTGATCGGCACGCCGTTCTGGATGGCGCCCGAGGTGATTCAGGAGATCGGCTACGACTGCGTGGCCGACATCTGGTCGCTCGGCATCACGGCGCTGGAGATGGCGGAGGGCAAGCCGCCCTACGGCGACATACACCCCATGCGCGCCATATTCATGATACCCACCAAGCCGCCGCCCTCCTTCAGGTTAGATATGTCTGGACGATGTTGGTTTATCTTGTAGAAAATCAATAACGTTTATTATATTATTTATTAGCAAAATTATCAACTTTTATTATAACTCCATTTTTTTGGACGACTTCAATTCAAGTTAGTTATGATGTCTGACAGTGTTCCGATAAAAATGTAGCTTTTTATTATTGAAAAAAAAAATACAAAATCGCATCAGTAGTTCTACAAATAGATTACTTCCTACATATAAACTTTTACCTCTTTATAACATTAGTGTACATATGGCAACTTCATAGGACTATCAGATTATTATTATTATTAATGAAATTACTATTTGCCCGATCAACGGGTCTACGGGAAGCTTTCTCATAGCTGATCCGTGGATCGATTGAATTTAGTTCAACCTTTCAAATCCCCACTTCTCAGAATTTTTACATTTACCTATATATAAGTTCTCAAAAACAAATTATAACATGATGTTTGTTTTTAATTTACTCTATTTTTTTTTTGGGTGTCAATCTTATCTTACCTTTTCTTAAAATTTAAATACTTTCTATTTATATTTTTAAAGAGTACATGGATATGAATTATATTTTACAGAGAACCAGACCAATGGTCGCCGGAGTTCATAGACTTTGTGAGTCAGTGCTTGGTGAAGAACCCCGAGGAGAGAGCCACGGCTGAGTACTTGTTGGCGCACGAGTTTATTGGTGTGGATTTTATATTATAATTTATATTCTTATAAATTTTTCTTATTGGATGGTTTGGTCTCCTTCCTAATATTTATTTATACGTTTTAATCAAACAAAACTAAATTCTTTACAAGGAAGCATTTAGTATTTATATTTTATTCTTTCACTGTTTTTGAAATTTGTTATTTCTTCACTTGGTCAGTCACTTCAGTCGGTCGTTTTTATACTGCTCAATAAGATTGAGTGATATTCTTAAGGAAAGTAGCTTATATTTAGAATTGAAATATATATATAGACTTTTATTGTCATATAAATGCTAATAACTGCATTTCGCAGATCCTTGGACAAAAAAATGTTTACCATGTTAAGTTGACTTTGCGAATTCTGAATTGTTGGTGAATAATAACAATATAATAAGAATTAAATTTAAAATATAATTATTTTTCTGGTTATTTTCGTTGCTAACAAAGTGAAATATATTTGTTTGTTCTCGACGCGACGTATCGAATGCTTTTGAAAAATAAAACCTCAAAAAAATTCGAACATATTATTTAATTTATAATATCAAATATTCTCGTAAACATGAGTAAGTATGATATGTCGTGGGTTTCCTTAGGCAACGCCAAGCAGGCCAGCATCCTCAGCGCCATGATAGCGGAGGCGCGCGAGCTGCGCGAGAGCCAGGCCTTCCGCGCACTCTCCCTCGCCAAGGCCGTACGTATACACACACGCACGCACACATACACACATATTATATGCACATGTTCATACAACGTCACATGTACATTTTTTGTTGAAATAATTTTATTTACTTTATTAATTGAATTAGGCTATGTTTCTATAAATTTTTGTGGTCATGGTCGATGTTGTAATCAACATTTTTGTGCTTTGATTAATCATACGTTAACTTTTTATTATTTTTATTTTTTCTTTAAAAGTAACGCAAAAAGACGCGTAGAACACACCCAAGCAAATCGCATTTTTTTAAATTGTGAAACTTGAGGATTAATTTACCACCATTATTGCAGGGCAACACGCCGGCGGCGGCGGCGGGCGCGGGCGGCGGCGCGGGCGACTACAGCGCGGCCACCATGAAGGCGGAGGCCACGCTGGTGCCGCGCGACGCCTCGCTGGAGCTGGCTGCCGACCTCGGCACCATGGTCATCAACGACCACGACCTCGCCACCATGAAGCGTGCGTGACCACACCTCCCCACACCACCACACCACACGCATACCACCTCACATTCCACATACAGGTGGTTGCGTGAGACTCACTGGTTAAAAAAGCCAGTACTACCCACTGAAAACCAACGGACTCTCTCCCGTCTTAATTACGCGTCGCTTTGGTTTCACGCTCAGCTGAATTGCCAGACGTGAAAAGACATTAATTGTACATAAACAATATAATAAATTATAATATATATAAAAATCGAAAAAGATAATAATGATAAAAAATAAAAAGGGATTATTTTTATTGTAATTTAAATATATTTTATTCGCGTGCGCAGGTCACGACACCGACCCGATGGACACCAACCGGCCCAAGTACCGGCCGCTGTTCCTCGAGCACTTCGAGAAGAAGGAGCTCAACCACCTCGCGCTCGCCAACGGCACGCTCACCGCGCCGCCGCGCCGCCGCGACCAGCCGCGGTCAGTCATACACACCACCTCGTGGGATACTGTCATATAACTTCCCAAACAAATGTTACTGAAAATATTTTAATTTGAAAACCCACTGCCATATTCCGTCATTTTTTCGGGCCTCAACACAGGGATGTTATACCGTAAAACTAAAGAGCAAACACATATGTTATACGACGTCTTACATAAAATGATATCATAGACAAATATAGATGGAACCCTTATAAAATTGTCATTTCTATGTGTTTGTCCGTATGTCATAAACGTTTATATAAAAAAATCAACTGAATACTGTATATAGTAAAAAGAGATAATTTCATTACTTAGCAATCGTAAATTTTATTTCAATTTTTTTTAAACAGTTCACTTAGTAATATACTAAAACTCTGTAATTGTTAGTAGTAAAAAGTAAACATTTTTACTCAATGATTTATTTTGACGAATCTGTGATAAGTATGTACATTACATACTATTTGACTATTTATTTTCATTTTTTTTTGTCTCATTAAATGAGTGCTTCGTTGACTTTTTTCGTCAGTTCGTCTCAGGACTGAAACTCATTTTTCGACATTCAGTAAAAATTGTAATAATTTATCTATACATATAATAAAACTGTAGAGGTTGAATGTCTACATAGAAAAAATATGCTAAAACCAAATAATGGCGATGTAAGAAGAGAAATAGAACAAATCAGATTTATTGTTGTTCGTCTAGAGTTATTATTAATATTACCAAAATTCGTAATACTAATATAATATTAAAATAAATATAATTAATCATTTATTATTTAGCTAGCTTATATAAAATGTATTGTATTGAATTGCAGGATTCCCACGGAATCGGAGGAGGACGCGGCGGAGGCGAGCGCGGCGGAGGAGGGCGGCGAGGCGCGCGCGGCCGCCGCGCCCGCCGCGCGCCTCGCCGACGACGGCAACTTCGAATTCGTAAGTCAACTGCACGTCGTCACTCTGCTCGCGCTGTCCCGTAAGTGCGTCACGTCACGTCACGTCACGTGACACGTCACACGTCACGCGTCACGCTAACCGCTAGTGCTCACACCTCTTGTATAACGCCATTATTTACACGGTATACAAATCCATACAGTAGGCTCGTTGATTTTATTTTATTTTTATTGGGGAAACAAACAACAACAACACAAACACATTTTTTTACACAGTTTACAAATGTTTATACAAATGTTCATAGATCAATAAAGTTTCCTCACTGATACGTGAATCATATCGAGTGGTGAAGTTGTCAGTTACAAAAAAATTAACTAAAACTACAACATAAAACATTATAAAATTAAAGTACAACAAAATAATAATAAGTGCTCAATAGATTATTTTTTTTTTACATAAGTTCTCTAATCAATTTTTTATATTTCATGATGGGAACATGTGTCAATTAACGGAAATGCGTAAGCGTTGTCAAATGCATTTTTTATGGCGTACAATTTTACAAATTAAATGTATTAAATTACAATGTAGCGCCACCTGTAGCAAGTTATGCCTATTAACCATAAAGTCATTTTTCACCTGTCATATAGAAGTGATTATAATAGAAAAGGGAGCCTCACTCTACCCCTATAATGCCCTGTTACTCCCTCGTTAGACGACTGTATGGATTACTAGACTGTGGTTTTAACAAGTGCTATGCGTTTTGGAGCTGCTTTTTTATGGTGTTGGTAGTCGCTTGGAACTTTGGTAAGGTAAATAATAAATAGTTTTCAAGTGTAAATATATATTTATATTGATAACTAAAATTGAAAAAATATGTCTGTTTAGTGATTGTACCTTTCAATCACAATTATTGTTATGTGTAAAAAATATATTAAATCCTATATAAAACCTCGATTTAATAAACTTTTTTGCGTGGTGTTTTTCCAAACTGACAGACAAAATTTATCTTACTTCCCATTTAATTTCATTTTCTTAAAACTTTTGAATGCATAACTTTAATTTCATTGCAATATTGCAGAAATATACGCTTGTATATATCAAAATAACATTTATATGTATACTAAATTAATAACATACTAACACAAAGTGGATATATTTATGTTTATAAAGCTATAGTTTTTAAATAATGTTCTTGGCATATTTTATTTATACATATGAGTATATGAAATAATAAAAATAATTGATTTATGCCACATATTGCAAAACGGTCATGATATTTTGTGCGTCTTTCGGACGCGTTTTTCTAAAACATATTTTTTAATTTAAAGAAATGTATACTTATGTTATCGGATTGTTGATAAAAAATAGGAAAGTTGTATGTGTAATTTGTCTGTATTTGTATGTTTGATACTCTTTCATATTAAAGCAATTGGACGAATATGGATGAACTTTGTCATACCTGTGACATGGGAATACTACATAGCAATTGTTAAGTATCCTACGCACCCGGATCTAAAACAATCAACTCAGTCCGAACAAGTCTCAAAAACAAAAGTCGTATTCTAAATGCTCGGTAACACCTTTGACTCAGTGTGTACCCTACTTGCTGTGCCAGCGGTCGCGGGTTCGAGTCTCGCTTGGGGCATTCATTTGTGTGATGAGCAAGAATTTTGTAGTTCGTACTCCTCATGGGTGTTTATATTTATAATATGTATGTATTCAAAGTTATATACGTGTAGTGTATCAACTATCCGGTATCCATAACACAAGCGTCGTAGCTCGCCATGGAACCAGATGGCGCCGTGTGTTAGCGTGCAACATATAACTTACAGCTGTCGTTCCTGTCGGAGAGCGAGCTGGAGGCGCGCATGGCGCGGCTGGACGCGGAGATGGAGGCGGAGATCGAGCGCCTGCACGCGCGCTACGAGCGCAAGCGCCGCCCCATCCTCGACGCCATCTCGCTCAAGCGCCAGCGCCAGCAGAACTTCTAGGCGCCCCGCCGCAGGTACGGAAATATCCCTAGACCCATCCCTTTACAATAATGTATGAAACTCTGTCACTATAATATTAGTATAAATTTCTCATATACCTTGAAGGAAGGACCTAAACGAACTATATGGCAGAATCGAGAATAGTAGCTTAAATAACAAAACACGCTACTATATTTGACATTGAGATTTTTTGTGATGTATATAATTATCAAGTCCGAGTCCAGATTACATCTGTTGAGGACAGAACGAATTATAAATAATGTTCTAAATATACCTTTTTGGTGTAGATTATGTACAGAAACTTAAAAATGTACTGCTAAATTTACTTATTACAATCGTTGTATTCCAGGTTCCATGGCGAAGTAACTGACTGCAGAGAGCGCCGGCCGCCGCGCCGCGCCGGGAAGAGGCGACACTATGAATATTCTGGTAAAGGAATGACGATGGGTATATTTATGTTTAAATCGCATCTATTCAAAGCATTTACATCTTAAAATATTTGAAGGTCAATATATAAATTGGTGATGTAACGAATATACGCATTAGCGAATGTTCGCATATCTTTTGACATGTTTTTGACAAACAAAAAGGAAATCACATATGGATAATCATGGATGTTTATGGAATGAATATTATTTTATTGACTTATATTATTAGCTTAAAAAAATGAGGTAGGCTAAATTAGAAATATTTTTACTTTTATTCTTGTTCATCTAATTAAAATATTAAAAAAAATCACAACTAAACTAAATAAATAATAACATCCTTCCTTACATTTAAAAAAATTAAAATTCCAAATTATAATATCTTCTGTGAAAAAAAGATAAAAAATATATATTTGAACCAAATTTAAACTTATAATATACATAATGTTATATTATAAGCTTTGGCTTCAATTATATATTTTTCCATTCTACTATGTATATTTTTTCTAAGAATTAATGATAATGAAATATAAACTCAAAAAAAAAAACAAAATAATGAATACTTAAGTAAAGTATTTGTAAATAAAGCAATTTCTTTTTTTACAGGAGACAAAACAATATTTATTTCGGTTTTAAACAAAAGTAAAGTTCTAATATCCATAATGTTATTTAACCTGGTTTTGTGGAAAGTCGGTGGGACGATTTTTTTACTATATATTTTCTTTTTCTATGAATTAAAGATAATGAAATATATAAACTTTCGCATTTTCGAGAATGTAAAAAGTCGAGCATTCGTTACATCACTAATATGTCTCTGTGACATGTGCGTGTGTCAAAATGTCATTTTGACAATAAACAATATAAATAATGTGTGTGTGTGTGACAGATTGAATATGTACTATTTTTTGTTAAACGATTGATGCATTTGTTACACAAATATTGTAACAATAAAATTTAAGCTTATTAATTTTACGAACAAATTTTTATGTCAGATTTTATATCTGAATACATTATACAAGTTTGGCAAAAACTGAAATTTTTAGAGTATTAGGAAACTAAAAAATTTTTTGAAAATTTTACCTCATAATTTTAGTCGGCCTAATATTTTTGGAACAGTTATATTTTGTGGCTCTAAAATGACGGCTTAATAGCCTATTGGCTTGATGCTAACAAACTCAGTATCTTGGTGGGTGAAGACGTTTTTGCCCACGGGTGGAATTTGAATATTCAAGTAGAGGTGCCAAAACGCAACGCATCAACGCTTGTTCCTAAATAATCACTTTATTTCAGCCAAATTTATCAAAAATTGATACAAATATTGCATTTTTTGCCAGATATGTGTCGAATTTGTTAGCGATGGTGTTGTTGTTGTAGTTGATTCGTATGTAAGGTGAGACATATCTGTGTGCGAGTTGTGACGGCCTTCGTCCGCTAGAGGGAGAGCATTTAGTTCGAGCTATATCGTTCTAACTAAGAATATGACTGTATTTGTGCTAAATTTCAAACAAATGTAAATCCATTATCCACAATTCCGAGTTAAATGAGAAAGACGATTCCAAACAAAAAATATAATTTGACAAAAACAAATCTTTTATTAAAAAGATTATTCATTTTTCATAATTAATGAAATAAATGATTTAAAATGAAATTTTATATAAACAAAAAAGGAGTTTGTTATCGAATTTTGATGTATTATGTCGAATGTCGTCGAGCTTATTTTTTTCCGAATATAAATAGATGCATCGTAATTAGCTAGCGTAAGTATGTAAAAAAAAATTACATAAAAATATCAATTATTATTTTGAATGGATTTACCTTCGTTTAAAGTTTGTCCACTATAATAGGGAATATACGTGTTTTTATACAATAGCTAACATCGTTTTGTAATTGAAAAAAAATCCAGATCCAAAAACTAAAATTTAGTATAAATTTTTGTTTCAAAATATTAATCGTCCGCCAATTCGCGCGCGTGGCATGACGTCACAGTATGATTTATACAGAGAAAGTGCGACTTTAGTTAGTAGCCACAAAATCGCTAATCGCTCTGTTATGACATATGTACTCTGACGTCATATTCGGTCTGACCAAAGGCGTGCGTTTCAACTACTTTGAATTTCCCAGCTATATTTGCACTTTTTAATAATTACTCTCTTAATCAAAAAGAAATTACATTAAAAATATTGATATAGGCTTAATCCAAAAGCAATAAAAATTATTTTAAAAAATCACCTTTATTTAAATGACACGTACATTCCCTATTGATACACCGTTGGTCGTAATGATAAAATAATATTAATATATTATTTTTCTTTATGTAATAACATTAGATAAAACAACTTCTAGCGGATATTATAAATAATGGGATATTATTTTATTTAAACATTTATTTGTAGTATATTGTAATAAATACATGACAATATTATAATTGTATATAGAATAGCTAATTTGATTATTTTAATTTTTTTTACTACCTTCGAATATATGTTTCCTTTTGTAAGCCAATTCATAAAGTTTAAAGAAATTGATTTTTTTGGATTTTTTTTTGGTCAACGAAGCCATTTTTTTTTGTTTTTTTTTTGTACTCATTTTATCGATCAAACGTTTAATTTTAGTTCCTTTTTTGGATCTCAGAAGTGTCATCTCGCAAATTGTATTATATTTCAACATTAGATTATATTCGGTGGGTTTGGGCCATTACGAATACTAACGTTGCTTGTAAATAGTTATTATTTACCTGTTGATATGCTAAAGTAATAGGATTTTCATTTATTTTAGTTTTAAATGATCATTGAACGTTCATGATTTATCTAATTTAGATTTTATATATCATTATTGTCCAATAAATCGTAATTGCTCATTTCCATTCACTCAAATGTACATTGACTCTTGTAGTGGGTTGTGAGATACGTGAGTTCTAAATTTGGGGGTCATCTGTAAATTGTGTCTTATAGGGGTTACTTGACAAATTATATATAATTTTGTATAAAATCTTATATACCTTGTATCCAAATGGGTTTAATACATATTGTTATAGCCTTCAGTGGAAAAGAATTGTTTATTAGTTTTTGATATAAAACTTTAAATAAACTAGCGGTAAGTGGTTCTAACCCTCTTTATGACACCAAGCTGTGGGTGACCCCTCATATGCATTATCGTTTGCGTCAGACAGACGATTCTATATTTTAACAATTAGAGTTAAAACGTTCTTGTAGAAAAAAGTTTTATGACCAAATCGTAAACAGATTGTTGTACGGTGGTGGCGTACTGTTAGGATGTTTTTTGATACGTTGGCCGTGTATTGTGTGTATATAATAAATATAAATTATTTGTTTTGTATAAGGAAATATTAAAGCAACATCAGAATCGTATAAAAAATATCCATTGTGTTTTAGCAGCCATTTTTGAATAATTTAAATAAGATGATGATCTGATCAATCAATAGTAAATTAATATTTTTACAAACAGTGCGCCCCCACCCTCTGTTCCCTTGTACAGAGTGTATTTTGCTAGAAAATCTTCAAAATATAAAAAGTTACAAATTTAGAAGTGCCATTAAGTAAAGTATTTTCATACATTCGAGCAATAGATTTAACAAATGTATCTATGGATGGTTGTCCGGAATGTACGTGGGTGCCATTGGTGTTATATTGTAATTATTGTAAGTTTTGAAACCTTTTTGTCAAATTTAAATTTTTTTGATGCTGTGTGTTAAAAACAATAACGGCCAGCAGAATTTTGTTATGTAAACGTTGCTCATTATTATTTTTTTATTATCTATGGTATTTTTTGTTTATATAAAAAAATGTTTTTTTTTTTAATAATATTACAGTTATTAAGGTAAAGTTTTCAGTTTAAAATAACATTTTTCAATCGATCTATTTTAAATTTGATTATAAATGAGTACGAATAGAGATAATAAAATTTGCCAAAAAGCACATTCTGCTGGCCTCTTATAAATTGGTCTAAACACGATTGATAATTATTGGTAAATTGTACAGGGTATGTAAGCTTAAAGCATTTTTTCGCCGCGGCTGCCGTCGACTTCAATACAATAAAAGACTTTCATTTAATATTTAATTTGCCTTTAAAATAGTAATCAGTTTCAAAAATAATGGAAGTTTTCTCAACATAAGAGTGTCAGCGCAATAATAGCTCTATACACATTTTGTTATATGAAATAACATGTAAAATTTTCTTTTGCTCTCGATCGATCAAAAAAGTACTAGATAATCCCACTCAAAAGTTCTCTTAAAACCACCTGTTTACCACACCACCCACATCTACCATGGAGACTTCTCATTGGCTACTCACGTCGTGTACTCTGTTCCTTTTCTCATTGTTCCATCGATCTCTGATATTTGTGGGACTTTCTTAAATTCTTCTGCTCTCAATATTTTTGATTAGAGAACCTAATAATGTATGTATTATTTGGCCTGACCGGGATTCGAACTGAGAAACAAATCTCAGAATTGCAGCCAGTGAAGGAACTAGCGAAATTCTCTTTGCTTCGTTTGCTTGCTTTTTTTTGTAATATATATTAATATCACAAAAATCTACGAATATCGCCTACGGTGGAGCCAGAGCCTCAAGCAAAATCTCTTATCTTTATATTCTCTCTGTTCTCTCTTTCACTTCTACTGAGGTAATAATTCTCTTCATACAGATTGTCGTGTAGTCGTTATTGATGTATAAAAACATATATATACATTTCCTAACAAATATCTCTTCAAAAAGTAGCTTCCACATGTAACGTTAAGTCAAACCAAAGAATAAAATTCTAAAATCGAAAGTTCTAATTCGTTAAAGTAAGTTTAAACACAAATTCAAACTTACGCACACCACATAAAGTACTTTTTTAAACGAGACAACGTGCGTTTTAATTTTGTCATCCGAAAAGCAATGAGCAAAAGAGATTTGAAAAAAGCGCAATTCAATTTCAAAT